GGGGTAAGACTTTCCGGGTGCTCCAGGCCCTGCCCCCCTCTGGTCTAAAGGGGTTCTGCGGGGGTGGCCCCTGGAGTGACTCTGGGTCCCTGCAGAGGATCAAGGAGGGCAGCATCATCAACAGGATCGAAGCCGTGTGTGTGGGCGACAGCATCGAGGCCATCAACGACCACTCCATCGTCGGCTGCCGCCACTACGAGGTCGCCAAGATGCTCCGTGAGCTGCCCAAGGCCCAGCCCTTCACCCTGCGCCTGGTGCAGCCCAAGAGAGCCTTCGGTGAGGGCCACCTGTGGCCTTGGGGGCAGGCGGTGGGGGGAGCTCTTGGGGAAGTGGGTTCTCTGGATGCCGGGGTCAGCGGAGGGTGGGGGTGGGGTGGGGTAGGATGGAAGGTTCTAGATGCCTCTGGTGACATGAGGGGGAACTTCTGGCATTGTATTGGGGACAGGTGGGTGGTTTCCATACTGCTACAGTCTAGCTGGGGACGGGGGAGTTTGGGAAGATGGAGGAAGGATGAGGCGGTGTTTAGATCTATTGTGTCACTTGGTGGGAGCTTTTAAAGTGCTGCTTTAAGGCTATGAACACAAGGGGGCCTTTGAAGGATAAGAAAGTTCCAGAAAGTCTCAGCTGGTGGTTTCCCAGTGTTTACAAAGAGTGGATCTACCCAGAACACGTGCCCCTCCACCACTCTGTCCCCTCCAGACATGATCAGCCAGAGGAGCCGGAGCAGCAAATGCCCCGTGGAAGCAAAAGTGACCAGCGGGCGGGAGACCCTGCGGCTTCGTTCTGGGGGGGCTGCCACAGTAGAGGAAGTGGTGAGTGAGGGGAGGGGGGCCTTCAGGGACTCTAACACCTACAGCTCTAACTCTGAGTCAGCGTGACCTAGGCTGAGACCTCCCTCACACAACGCCAGTTTCCCCACCTGCAAAATGGGTCTTCAGGTGAGGCAGGGCAATGGTGGTGCAGGAGCATTGGCACGCGAGGTCCCGGCCTGCTGGTACCCAAGGGGAGGAGCCTGGGAGGGGCTGGGCTGGAGGGATCTGTGGTTCTGACCCTCTGTTTTGTCCCCCTGCGCCCCAGCCCACTGAATTTGAGGAGGAGGCCTCCCGGAAGGTGGATGACCTACTGGAGAGTTACATGGGCATTCGGGACCCAGAGCTGGGTAAGGGGCCAGGGTAAGCCGGTGGACCCTGGGGGGAGGCCAGCCCACTGGGAGGAGGTAGGGTCCCAAGGGGAAGTTGGGGTCCCAGAGCACTCTTACCCACTTTCCTTCCCACCCTGGCAGCGTCCACCATGGTGGAGACATCCAAGAAGACAGTGAGCGTTCAGGAGTTTGCACGCCGTTTAGACTCCGTCTTGGGCGAGTTCGCCTTCCCGGACGAGTTTGTGGTGGAGGTGTGGGCCGCCATCGGGGAGGCCAGGGAGGCCTGTGGCTAATTTGCCCTGGGGCTGAGCGCAGCCCCAGTCCGGAGCCCAGCCCCCTGCCCCAGCCCTGCAGGCTGGTTCCTGAAGCCCAGCCCTGCTCCAGAGCCCAGCCCAGATCTGAGACCCAGTCCCCCTCTAGAGCCCAGGTCATCTCTGAGACCAAGGTCACCTCTAGAGCCCACACCAGTTCTGAGACCAAGCCTAGTTCTGAGACCAAGCCCTGCTCTAGACTCCAAGCCAGCTCTGAGGCCAAGTTCATCTCTAGAACTTCATCTGGTTCTGAGACCCAACCCAGCTCTAGAACCCAGGCAAGCTCTGAGACCAGGTTCGACTCTAGAACCCATACCAGTTTGGAGACCAAGCCCAGCTCTGAGACCAAGCTCTGTTCTAGATCACAGGCTAGCTCTGAAGCTAAGTTCATCTCTAGAACACAATCCAGTTCTGAGACCCAACCTAGCTCCAGAACCCAGCCCAGTTCCAAAACTCAGCCCACCTCTAGAACCCAGGACAGCTCTGAGGACAAGCCGAGCTTTGGCATTAAGTCAAGTTCTGGAACCCAGACAAGTTTTAAGACCCAGCCCAGTTCTGTGATCAATGCCAGCATCGGAAGCCAGCCCAGCTCTATGACCAAGCCCTGCCACAAAACTCGACCTGACTCTGGAACACAAGATAGCTCCATGATGCTGCCAGACCTGGACACCCAGTTTAGTTCAGGAACACCAGTTAGTTCTGAAACCCAGGTGAGACTTAAGAATCAGCCCAACTACAGAAGCCTCTCCAGCGTAGGATTCAAAGACAGCTCCCAAACTCAACCCTATTCACGAACCCAGATCAGCTCAGGAACCCCGATGCATGTGGCAGCTCAGCCCAGATCCCAACCCTGCTCTAAAACTCAGTTTCATTCTGGGGCCCAGTCCAGCTCCAGTGATGAGTCCAGCTCAGAAAGTGAGCCCAGCTCTAGATCCCAGCCTAGTGCTACCACCAGGCCCATCTCTAGAATTCAGACGAGCCCTGGAACCTCATCCATCTCTGAGGCAAGGCCTGTCTCCACAACCCAGCTTGATGCTGAACCCCACTCTCACTGCAGTACGAAGACCAGCTCTAGAACACCTTCCAACTCTGGGGCCCAGACCAGCTTCAAGGACTGGCCAATTTCCAGAGCTCAATCCAGATTAGGCACTCAACCCAGCTCTAGAACTCAACTCAGTTCTGGAGCACAGACTGCCTCTGAAATCTCATCGAGCTCCAAAACACAGTCAGTTGCTGATACTGAGTTGAGTTCCAGAATCCAGCTAAACTCTAGTCCTGGGTCCCAGACCAATGCAGTAACAGACTTAAGCTCCACAACTCTGTCTAGCTCCAAGAGCAGGCCCAGCTCCAGGACCCAGGCCTGCATGGCTCAATCAACTTCTGGGACTCAGCTCATCTTGGAAACCCCTCAGGCCACAACCCAAGGCAGCTCTGATATTGATCCAAACTTTGCAAAGCAGGTCAGCTCTGCATCTCAGCTCATCTCTAGAGTCCAGTTCAGCTCCGAGACTCAACTCAACTCTGAAACCCCCACCAGCTCAAGGATACAGCCCAGTTCTGGAACCCACCTTAGTTCTAGAATCCAGCCTGTTTCTGGAACTAAACCCAGCTTCAGAACCCAGACAAGTTCTGGAGCCCAGCTTGGTTCGGAGACCCAGCCCAGTTCTGGGGCCCAGACCAGTGCAAGAATTCAACCCAGCTCCGGAGCCCAGCTCAGCTCTAGAACCCAGTCTAGCTCTGAGACCCGGCTCAGCTCTGAAACCCAGCTCAGCTCTAGAACCCAGCTTAGCACCAGGATTCAGTTTAGCTCTGAGAACCACCCCAGCTCTGGAACCCAGACCAGTTCAAGAATGCAGCCCAGCTCTGAAGCCCATCTTAGCTCCAAATCCAAGTCCAGCTCTGGCACCTGGCTTAGTTCTGAGTCTAAGCTCAGCTCCAGAGCCCTCCCCAGCTCTGAAACCCAGGCCAGTGCAAGAATTCAGCCCAGCTCTGGAACCCAACTCAGTTCCAGAACCCAGCCTGTTTCTGGAACCCAAACCAGTTCCAGAACGCAGACCAGTTTTGGAACCCAGCTCAGATCTGAGACTCAGCCCAGCTCAGACACCCAGCCAAGCTCTAAAACCCTGACCAGTGCAAGACTTCAGCCCAGCGCTGGAGCCCAGCTCAGTTCCAGAACCCAGCCCAGCTCCAGGATTCAGTTCAGCTCTGAGACTCAGCCCAGCTCTGAAACTCAGGCCAGTTCAAGAATACAGCCGAGCTCTGGAACCCAACTCAGTTCCAGAACCCAGCCTGTTTCTGGAACCCAAACCAGTTCCAGCACCCAGACCAGTTTGGGAACCCAGCTCAGATCTGAGACTCAGCCCAGCTCAGACACCCAGCCCAGCTCTGGAACCCAGACCAGTGCAAGACTTCAGCCCAGTGCTGGAGCCCAGCTCAGTTCCAGAACCCAGCCCAGCTCCAGGATTCAGTTCAGCTCTGAGACCCAGCCCAGCTCTGAAATCCAGACCAGTTTAAGAACTGAGCCCCACTCTGGAATCCACCATAGTTCTAGAACCCAGCCTGTTTCTGAAACCCAATCCGGCTCCAGAACCCAGACCAGCTTAAGAATCCAGCGCAGTTCTAGGAATGGGCTTCGCCCCCAGACCCCCGGCCTTGACCCTAGAACCCAGTCTGATCCCACTCCTCCAGCCCGACCTCAGCCCCCAGACCCACCACCAAGAGCCCCAACTCCGGGCCCCAGCAAAGCCTCTCAGCCTCACCCCCAGCCCCATGATCTGGTGCGTGGAACCCAGGCCAATACTGGCAGAAGCCTGCCGACACCCCACCTGGCCCCAAAGCCACAGGCCCCCTTGACTCACCAGAAACCAGCCCTTTTACCTAAGCCCCAGGTGGGACCCCGTAAGTCCACTCCACCTACCACATCTGTCACCCCTAGTTCTGCCTCCGGGGTGGCCCTCATTCGGTCCCAGCTCCCTGAATCCCCAGCTCAGGAGCCTGCCCACACCCCCATGCACAGGGGGCCAGGAACTGCTCTGCGAGGGTCAGAGCCCCTCCCCCACCACAAGGAGCTGTAGCTTAGGGGTGACATAGTTTTGGCCCTTGGTGGGCTCCATCCCCTCTCCTTCCCCTCCCAGCGAAGTGGCAGGTGACCTCATTCCCCCACAGGTCAGGGGCGGGAGGATGGAAACGGGCTTCAGTTTCATTGGGCCTGGCTCTGGGAGGTGTAAGCAGATCCCAGGTCTGTGGAAGGGAAAGGGGGAAAGGGAGGGGCAGGGGGTGGTTGGCTCTTCATGTACCTTGAGGGCTCATGGGAATAAAGGCACATCCCACCCCTGCAGCCAGGTGTGTTGTATGTGAGGGCGGTTTGGGGAGAGCAGAGGCAGGGGCAGGCATGAGGGCCCGGGGGGGCGGTCACAACACTGGCTGCTTCTTAAGCACCTACTATGTGCCAGGTGCTTTACGAGCGCTCACTGTGCATGGGTTCTTGTCTTCACACATACATGACGCTCCTCAAAACCCCGTCATTCGTCCATTCGATCCATCTTTTTTGAGCACTTATTGTGGGCCAAGCGCTGCTTGTTCAAGACACTGGGAGTCGGAGTGTGAAGTGAATGACCGGCTAAACGATAAGCTTATAAGGGAACGGCTCCATCTGGGACGGAGGAAGCGTGTGTCACTCCGTGGCCTTGCGTGTCTCCCACGGGTCTAATACCAGAACCCTCTCGAGGGGCGACAGGAAGGATTCCAGAAGATTGGACTCAGTGGGGAGGTGGGCAAGGAGCCAAAACCCAGTCTCACGCCCTCTGCCCGCCCCCGCCTTCTGCTCGGTTGCCACAGGGCCGGATAACAATCTGATGCACCAAACTTCAACAAGTGGCCACTGGCCTCCAGACCCAAAGGGAAATAAAGCCGCTGAGATACATTTTGGCAAGAGAGGGGGCGCCCTGCCCATTTATATTGAATCTTTTCTAGGCAGAGCCTTCTCAGGTTGGGGTGTCAAAGGGGATCAACTGTACCCCACAGAATAGGTCATATTCAGTGGTCAGACCCCCAATTTCCTGGGGACTTCTGGAAGGGGAGGCTTACAAGTTTAATTGTCTCCAGATGCCCTCCCGACACTCCCACTCACCCAGCCTGAAGTTGGGAGGGGCCTGAGAGAAGAAAACGGGCTTGGAAAGGGGGGTCAGGGAAGATTGGGGCGCCCCCAGGGCTGACGGAAGACAGCTCACAATCCTGCCACTCAAACTCTGCTCATCCTGGACTTCAGGGTGGGCAGCTGGGACTGTCAGGGAGGCCCGAGGCTGAATGGCCGCTGATGTCTCCCCGGCCCTACGCCATGGTGGGCCTCCGGGCGAGCTGGGGCTGCAGGGAGAGCGACCGGGACCGGGTGCTGAGGCCAGGGTGGAGGCGGCGGATCACGGCCCGGCGGAACAGGATGTACACCCAGGGGTCCAGGATCTGGTTCCAGGTGGCCACACGCAGGTAAATGAGCAGCTGCTTCTCCGTGGCTCGGGACAGCTGCCCGGTGGGGCTCATGGCTGGTGGGCTCCGCAGCACCGTCTGGGCGATGAAGACCTGTCAAAGGCCAGAGCAGTTACCCAGCAGTCAGGCGGGCCTCCAACCCTGCCCCTCCACCAGCACCTCTGGTCCCCTAAGATCCAGCACTGATTCTGTTACTGCTGTGCTGTGTGACCTCGAGAGAGCTGCCTGACTTCTCTGGGCCTCAGCTGGTGTGGCCACAGAATAAGCTCTCTTCTCCTGCTGCTCTCCTGGGCACGATGAAATGTGGTGCAAAACAAGATTTGCAGGTGTAAACAGTTGGAATTACTGTTACAACCAGCATCGTTATTCTATTAAATAGTTTATATTTTATAAACATTTCATAATATATTATAAAACCATAGTGTAAAACTGTATATAGCCTTAGCCGGTTTGGCTCAGTGGATAGAGTGTCGGTCTGTAGACTGAAGGGTCCCAGGGTCAATTCCAGTCAAGGGCACATGCTCAGGTTGCAGGCTCGATCCCCAAAAGGGGCATGCAGGAGGCAGCCAACCAATGATTCTCTCTCCTCATTGGTGTTTCTATCGCTCTCCCTCTCTCTTCCTCTCTGGAAAGAAAAATTGTACATAAAATAACCTATTTCATATTTTATTTTAAAGGATTTAATATAATTTATGTTTTATAAAATGTTATGACAAATAGTTTTATATTAAAATTTTATATCAAAATATTATATTAAATTATTTTAATATATTTTATCAAATATTGAATTTTACATGTAATATTATATAATATATCATGTTATTTACAATTATAATACAATAATTATCTAATAATTAATATATTGTTGATTATAATTATAGTTATATATTAGTTAAAAATTTAGACATAATTATAATTATGTAATGATATATTATGTAATATATAATTGATATAACTATTAAGTATTAATATATATTAATATATTATTATATATTGTATAGTACTTAACAATTATATAACATACAATATGTAATCATATATTATATAATTGATATGATGAAGTATTCATTATAATACAATATAATTAATTATAACGTATATATTTTATAATTAAAATTATATATTGTTAAATAGAATTATAATTCATATGGTAATACATGCATTGTATTAAAATTCTATTACATGAATATTCTATTAAAATGGTTCCCTGAGCACTACGGTGTGCTGGGCAAGGCTGGGGACACGGCCGGGGACGCGACAGCCAGCCCCGCCCCGACCCGGGGGGTGTCCGTGTCCTGCTCACGGCTTCTCCAGGAAGGGCCCCTCACACTGGGACGGTGCCCACATCTTCTCCGGGATGAGAGCCTGAAATGCATCTGGATGAACGGGGGCCCAGTCACCACGGATGCGGGCACCCAGGGCAGACCCTGCGCCGGCACTCACCAGCAGCGGCATCCAGCAGACGCTGGCCACCACCATGATGCCCAGGAGCTGGGCCATCATCTCCACCTCGCAGTCCCGCGGGCGCTGCTGGGCGGCCTCCTGCCCGTGGTAGACGTGGCACAGGGTGGCCACGCTGATGGTGTTGAGCAGGAAGGACAGCCCCACGGAGAAGCTGCCCAGGAGCACGAACAGCAGCCCGAAGGCCACGTCGCCGGGCGCGGGGCCCAGCGTGAGGAAGCACCAGGAGCCCGGGTACTGCACGGTGTAGCGGCCCAGGCCCAGCAAGGGCAGCAGGCCCAGCGCCAGCGCCGTGGCCCACACCAGCCCCACGATGGTCCAGGCGCGGCGCTGGGAGGCGGCCGCGGGGCGCGAGAAGGGCCGCGTGATGCCCAGGTAGCGCTCTGAGGCCATGGCGGCCCCCAGCAGCAGCGGGCACAGGCCGAAGAAGACCATGACGACGCCCATAAAGCGGCAGAGGCGACAGCTGGGGTCCACGGCGTGCCAGTCGAAGAGGATGGCGTGCTGGGACACCACGATGGCGCCGGTGATCAGCAGCCCCATGAAGTCGGTGAGGACCAGGCCACAGAGGAAGGTGAGGAAGGAGGACCTCCCCTGTGAGCTGCCCTGCCGGGCCCCTGCCAGCACCCTCAGGGCCAGCAGGTTGGAGGCCAGGCCCACGAGGCAGAAGGAGGCAGCAAACCAGGGGGAGGCGATCAGGCGCCGCTCCTCTAGCGTGATGTTCATTGGCCGGAAACAGGGGCCCAGAGAACTGTCATTGGACCACATGGCGGAGGGGCAGTCGGGAGCGTCACCGCCCCATTGGGCTGAGGCTGAGGCTGTGGGTGCGGCTGGCACTGGCCCTGGCACACCTGGTGGGGGCAGAGAGATGATTTGCTGGTGATTCATTCTGCATTTAATCAGAGTGGCCCTGGTGAACTCCTATACAACCTTCAATGCCCCAACTCAAATAACCCCTCCTTAAGGATGTCTTTCCTGACTTACCTCACTCTGCACTCACAGGCTTTACTATTACTAGCTCTGTCCTGCCCTAGAATCAGTGACCTGCGAGGTGAGGACCTGGGCTGTCTCCTCTGGGGGACACCAGTTAGTATCTGTTGGGTTGAAGAGAAGGGCCAAGAAGCCCCAGGTTTGCCGGCGCCCGCGGGCTCCTGGGAACCAGCCCTGGCACCTGTTGCATGACCCCAAGCAGGGGCTTTCTTCTCCCCGAGCTTGTTTCCCTGCTGGTCTCCCATCCAAGCCCTTGGTGGACTGCAGCTTCCAGGACAGATCTCAGCCACAGTAAGACAGGACGCATCCAGCGTGGAGAGGGAGGCTAGTGGTCAGCCAGAGCTCACCGGCTTTCGTACCAGCCCTGAGGTCAGCCTCGTGGGTCATAATCTCTCACGAATGCACGAGGGTGAGGCCCCACCCACTGGTATTTTCGGGAGATCCTTCCTCTCACAGGTTGAAAGTGTGTGGATTATTATTTTTCATTACTTAATTTTTTGAAATCATGTGGATTCTCTCCCCCCATCCCCCACCCCCTCACCCCATTTCTTGGCATCGCTTTTATAATAAGTTATACACCCAAAAATCCAGTTTCATTCTGGGAACAAAAAAACAGAACATCTGGGGCCACAGGTCCCCAGGGATGGGCCATAAAAGGCAGCAGGAGGGACCTGCTGACAGGCGTGGGGCTGGGGGAGAAGCCAGAGGAACATCTGGGCTGGCTGACGCCCAGTGTGAATAAGCCAGCCGATGAGGGGACGGCAAGTAGCAATAAAACGAGAGCATTCAGGGAACTCTGTCCCCCTCCCCACGTGGGAGTCTGTATTTGCTCTTCAATAAATCTCCACCTTTGCTATACGAGAGAGAGAGAGAGAGAGAGAGAGAGAGAGAGAGAGAGAGAGAGAGAGAGAGAACATTCAGAAAACAGCTCCCAGTTCCCAAAAAGGACGCATCAGGGAAGATATAAAGCCACATCCAGGCCCCCAGCTTCTGCCCCAGGTTCATACCACAAGTCATCCTCGTGTTGGCAGTGAGGGGGCACCTGGTGGAGAGAGCAGGGGGGCCAAGGTGGGGCGGCGGGACCGTGGGAGGAACAGGGAAGGAGGATCCAGGCAGTTAAAGCTCATAAAAGTCCTTTGTTCTTTGCAGAAGGGGCAGCAGGCATGGAGCGGGTAATGAACTTGTTCAAGGTCACACGGCCCAGCCCGAGCTGAGCTGGAATGTAAACTCCGGCCTCATTACCTATGTGTGTTCGTGATTCAAAATTCTGCCCATTCGACGGGAGCTGGTGCCAGGTGGGTGTGGGGGTTCACAATTATTATAATTTTCTCTAAGGAAGAATAAAATTTTCTAAAAAGTTGGTCAGACCGGATTCAAACCCTGCCTTTGCTACATACCCTCTCGCTGACCTTGGGCTCCCTGTGTCCCCACTCTGAGCCTCAGTTTCCCTTCCTGTAAAATGGGGCTCTTGGTGGCAATGAGTTCATCTGGGTACAGGGCTTAGCACATTGTGGGTGCTCAATCCCTGTGAGTGTGCCCAGCAGGTGGCCACCAGCCTCACTTCCCCTCCCCATAGTGGGGCCTTGGCCCAGCCCCTCGGACTGAACGGCTCCTTATCTCCTCTCATAAATTATCCAGCTCCCGACAGCTGCCCTGAGCTTCCCTCCCAGGCTGAGCGCCAAGGCCACCACCACTTTGGTGCTGGCGGGGTCTCAAGTGGGGAAACTAAGGCCTGGGGGGGGGAGGGTGGGTGGAGGGCGTGCCTCCCATGGTGACCGGGGGCCTTAGTCTTCCAGCCCGGGCCAGGGGTGTGCACTTTGCCATCACAGATTTCACTGGAACTTGAATTCCTCCTGGGACAAAGCTCTCCCTCCTCCCTCGAGAGCTGGTATGTGCCATTTCTGAACATTCCTGGGGACTTGGGCTGCGCCTGCGGCCACTGCCCTGGCCTCTGCCTGGAATGACTGTCAGCCCCTCTTGGGTCTCATGGTCCCTTGTCCCCACTTTCCTGTGGGCGTTCCTGCACCACTCACTCACCCGGATGCACACCCTGAGACATCCTCCTATCTCCCACGTCTGGGAACAAACCTGTGACCCAGAGCCCACGGCCTAGGGGAGACTGGAAACTGGCATGACTCCCTTTGGCCACAGCCTGTGGTTTCCAGTCCCCCCTCACATGGGTTCAGGTGATAGCTACCAGTCTCAAGTTTCCCAGGCAAGCAGGCCAGTAGAGGCACCTGGCTAGGCCTCCCTTCCCTCCCACATTGGCCAGGAGAGCTGGCAGGGCCCCTAACCTATAGGGGACCATTCCCATCCCAGCCCCAGGCCCAGAGCAGCACTGTGTGGTCCTTGGGGGAACCCATCTCCCTCTCTGTGTCTCATGGGAGGCATGGACTTCAGATTCCCATCCCAGATTTGCTGGACAAACCCAGGATTCCATGGCCCAACGGCGGGCAGGTTTAGGCTGTGAAAGGCCAGGGTTCTGGAATTTGAATGAGCTCCCAGTTCTGGAACCTGGAAGGCCTCCAGAGTCTAGAATTCCAAGGGCTGAGGTTCCAGAATTCTGACAGGAGTCTGGCTGGGTCCTGGGTTCCAGAAATCTGTGTCTCCACAACTGGCGCCTTACTGGAGGCTGGACTACGGGCAGGGCTCCCCCTCTGCCAGTGGAATGTGGTATTTTGGTTCCCAAGTCCAGGCCTGGTCATTGCTCACCCCACTCTCCTTCTCCCTCCTCCATCGAGCCGTCCATCTCTCAAAAAACCCCTCTTCCGCTCAACACTCCAAGCCCAGGCCTGTCCGGCCTGCCTGTCCCCGCAGCCTGGGCCCACCCAGCCTCCCCCAGGGATGATGCTGACCTCAGACAAGCTCAGATTGAAGTCCCTGATCGGCCACTGCCAAGCTGCGGGCTCAATGTTGGTGAGCGTCGGTTTTCCCCTCTGTGAAATGGGAATAACAAGGGCATCCGCTTGCCTGCTGGCATGGTGACTGCTTTTCACAGCGGTGAAAAGGCTTTGCTCCAGCGGTGTCCCCCGCCTGTGTGCCCTTCTGCACCTGCTCAGGAGATACGCTGTGTGTGTCAGAGCCTGTCTCCTGGCCAGGTGCACACGGGCAGCCAGGCAGGAGCCCTGATACTGTGTGTGACCTCGGCTGGCTCTGCTCCTCCGCTGTTTCCCACGCTTCCTGTCCTCTAGCTGCTGAGGACAGATCAGGGAGGACGCCCTTTGGCATGGAAGTGCAGGGTCCAGCCCAGCCTGTGCACCCATTGTGCACAGGGAACCCCCTCCCACACCCTGCTCAGCCACAGACACCCATACGGACACACCCACAGAAAAGCAGTGCCACCATCAGTCCCCAGGCCCACCCCCACCTCCCCTCACCACAGGCTCAGTTTCCGGGAACTTTTCCTGTTTGTGACATTAACCAGGCCCCCACCCCACAGTCAACTTGACTAGGTGAGAGCCAAACAGCCTCATTTTCTTTCTTTCTTTTTTAAAAATATATTTTATTGATTTTTTACAGAGAGGAAGGGAGAAGGATAGAGAGTTAGAAACATCAATCAGCTGCCTCCTGCACACCTCCTGCTGGGGATATGCCCGCAACCCAGGTACATGCCCTTGACCGGAATCGAACCTGGGACCCTTCAGTCCGCAGGCTGACGCTCTATCCACTGAGCCAAACCGGTCAGGGCCAGCCTCATTTTCTTATCTGATGACCAGGTGTCCTCAACGTGCTCACCATCAGGGCTGCCAGGAGGGCCAAAGAGAGGGCGGTGTGAGATGAGGGGAGGGGAGCCAGGCCATCTGGCCAGTGGCTAATGATGGACACAAGAGTTCCCGTGGCCCAGCGGGTGTGGCTCCGTGGTTGAGCATGGACCTATGAACCAGGAGGTCACGGTGTGATTCCCTGTCGGGGCACATGCCTGGGTTTCAGGTTCTATCTGCAGCGTGGGGCTTGCAGGAGGCAGCGGGTCAATGAATCTCTCTCATCACTGATGTTTATTTCTCTCTATCCCTCTCCATTCTTCTCTGAGTCAATAAAAATATGTATTTAAAAAAGGAGTTACCGTGATCCTCTGAACCCATCATGGCGTGCCCCCATACAAACACCGGCTCCCAGCCACACCCTCCCAGGGCACCTCAGGGTCCCGAGGCCCCACACAGACTGGAAACCACCCACCAGCGCATCCGCCCCTGCACGTGGCCGCGCACCGACGGGACCGGCAGCAGAAGCGCAGCCGCTGCCGGCACAGACCCGGTCTCATCACCGCCCCCGGACACCCGGCGCCGGGCGGCTGTCACCCCCAGCAGGGCAGGCCCCTGCAGGAAACACCCCGCCGCTTCTGCCACCCTCAGGCCGACCCCAGCCTCCGCTGCGTCCTCACCTGGCGACGGTGAATGGATGGGACAGCGCGGGTCACTGCGCGGTGGGTCGGGGGCCAGAGCCCGCGGACGTGCGGGCGCTAGTCCGGCCCGGGCTCCCGGGGAAACCGAGGCACGGTGGAGGCGGGCCACAGGGGACTTGGGGGCTGCCACGCCGGCGGCGGCACAGGACGCCCCGCTGCACGTGGTCCCGGGAGGCAGGAGGGGCAGGTCCCCCCGGGGCGGGAGGGGGGTCCTCGGGGACTGAAAAGAGCGGGCTGGGGGCTCCGCTCTGCAGACAGCACCCTGTCGGTCTCTACCCTCGCCTCTCGCGGTCTCTCTGTCTTTCGGTCCGTTTGTCTCTCATCGGCCCCTCCCCTCTGCAGTGGCCACACCCCTCAAGCCCGGGGCTGGCTGATGGGGGCCAGCGGGTGCCCCCTAGCAGCCTCCTGGGGGAGGGACACCGAGGCACACAGGCCGCAGGGCAGGGGTGTAGTAGCCAGCGCGGCCAGCACCCCCCGCCAGCCCAAGCCGGGCCCCCCCAAGAGCTCCTTTGGCATCAGTCAGCGTCTGGGCAGCACCCGAGGCCGGGAGGGGGCGGGCGGGCAGGTTTGGGGCAAGGCAGGGTCTGCTCCACGGGGTGCCTGCACCCCCACCCAGGGCTCCAGGGCTGTGAGCTGGTGAACCGCTGGGGTCAGGTCTGGCACCCAGTAGGTAGGTCTGAGGCCCCTTCCAGGGCTGGGGGCTGAGGGTGCAGGGTGCTTAGAGGGGAGGGGTGACCTCTAAACTCTCACGCCAGAAACTTGGGGGGCAGCCTTCTGAGACGGGCCTTCCTGGAGCAGGTGAGCTGAGAGGGCGGTGGGTGCCTGAGGGTGAGGCATTTCCGGGAAGGGGCCAGTGAGCCTGTCAGAGGCTGCGAGAGGCACTGGGGCCCGGGGCGGGGCGAGGGGAAGCCTGGAGTCGGTGCCTGCAGGAATGATTCAGAGGCTGAGGCCTGGGAGCGGGAACAGGGCTCTGGAATGGGCTTCCCAGGCGGGGCTGACTTCCTTGAAAGCCCACACACACTTGGGGCTCTGGGCCAGGGTCCCACAGCCCAACGCGACCAGGCTGGGCACAACTGGAGCCAAGGCTGGTGGCTGGACCAGCTGCAGGAGGGTGATAGAAGCTTCTTGAAGGCCCTTCCTGCCCACAGTCCTGGGGCCTCCGGTGGGTGGAGAGGATCCAGGGCAGCCATGGAGGGGTAAGCTTGGGCCTTCAGGAAGTTCGGACCTAGTGGGTCATGACTAGATGGCTGGGCCTTGAGCTCACCCTGCCCAGTCCTGGGGCCTGGGAGGGGCACACAAGTGCAGGCTCTGAGAGAAGATGGACTCCAGCCTTGGACTCCCCTAGGCTCTGGCTGGAAACCCCTTCTCTGGCTTCCCCGCCCACCATCTTTCCGGTCTCCAGGCCTTGGCTCACACCCCCCATCCCTCCAGATGGCCCCTCCCATTCCATCCCATTGTCTGAGTCCCTGCGCCATTTAACCCTGACTTTTCTCTCTCTCTCTCTCTCTCTAGGAAGAAATTTTTTTTTATTGATTTTAGAGCGAGAGGGAGAGGGAGAGAAAAACATTGATCTGTTGCCACCTGCATACACCCTGACTGGGGGTCAAACCTGCAACCTGGGTATGTGCCCTGCCTAGGAGTTGAACTGGGACCTTTCAGTGTTCAACCAACTGAGCCACACTGGCCAGGGCTACCCCTCATTTCTTCTGATTGGCAAGGAGTCTCCCAACTCCTATGCATCTGGCAGAGCCCTGGCTCCCAGGCCCCTCCTCTGTAAAGCCTTGGCCTCCAGCCGTCCTGCTCCTCCCCTTTTCCTTTTCTTGCTCCACTTTATTTTTTATTTTATTTTTTAAAATATATTTTACTGATTTTTTACAGAGAGGAAGGGAGAGGGATAGAGAGTTAGAAACATCGATCAGCTGCCTCCTGCACACCCCCCACTGGGGATGTGCCCGCAACCCAGGTACATGCCCTTGACCGGAATCGAACCTGGGATCTTTCAGTCCGCAGGCCGACGCTCAATCCACTGAGCCAAACCGGTTTCGGCTCCACTTTATTTTTTAAAAAAATATTTTTATTGGTTTCAGAGAGGAAGGGAGAGGGAGAGAGAGAGAGAAACATCAATGATAAGAGAGAATCATTTTTGGCTGCCTCCTGCACACCCCCCACTGGGGACCGAGCCCGCCACCTGGGCATGTGCCTTTGATCAAAATCGAACCCAGGACCCTTCAGTCCTCAGGCCGGCGCTCTAGCCACTGAGCCAAACTGGCCAGGACTCTTGCTCTGCTTTAATCCCTCCTCAAGGGCAACTGTGTGTCTGGCCCATGTGGTGGGACAATTATGAGCCCCCGGTAGGACTGGAAACAAGACCTGCTCTCAAAGACCCTCCAGGCTAGAGAAAGAGCTGGACACAGCCCTAACCTATTGCAGTCATGCTGGACCAGAGAAAGCGATCGGGCATAGTGCGCCTGGTAGGCATCCTGGTGCTTGGAGAAGGCATGAGAACTGGGACTTTGTGGGATGAGTAGGGGTTTCTGGTGCAAGAGACATGGCAGAAATCACATATGCAAGACTCTGGGGCAAGGGAGAGCATGAAGCTTTGGGGACCTGCAGTGAGGGCAGATGTGATGGAAAGAGGATGTGGGGCTGGGGCTCCAGATGGTGGGGAGGGAGGTGGCGGGCGGGGGGGAGGGTATGAGGTGGAGGGAGACTGTTCTATTCCCATTTCCTGTGCCTGGAGATAAGAAGGATAAGGCTGCTTCTGGGAAGGGCCAGGGCAGGGGTCAGAGATGCATGCTTGACTGGGAATTTAGTCTGGTCTGGATCTCACTGCAATGCAGGAGGTGAAGACGCTCATTTTATAAATGGGGAAACTGAGGCCAGAGGGAGGAAATGACATGGCCAAGGGCACAGGTAGGTGGGATTTGAATGTGAGCTCTGGGCTTCCTCCACCTCCTGGGCTGGTGGCGGGAGATCTTCAGGTCTATTTACCCCCTCCTAGCTCAATGGGCACACGGGAGGCCTGGGAGACAGAGATGGCCGGGGGAGGGTGGGGGCAAATGTTGGGAGCAGAAGCTAGGCTTAGGATGTGCCCCCCGTGGCTGTGGTTTCCGGTGGGGGCCAGGCAGGGAGCATCTATTCTTAGATTTGGACAGCTGAAGGCAGGAAGAAACTGGAGTGGTGGTTGGGGTTAGCTTAAGAAACACTGGTGGTCCTTGGGCCAGGGTGGGGTGATGGGGCAGCTGGATGGGTGTACCTCCAGCCTGTCCAAGGGGTCCCCTTGACACCCAGCTCGGGTCCCTGCTCAGCTCCCTCACCTGTGTGGTTCCCCAGCGCCCTGGGCAGTCCAGCTCCTGGGCGTGCATTCAGCCCTGCCCTGCGCGGGACCTGCAGCCTTCCCCCCTGCAAGACAGGCTCAACTCTCCTCTGCCCAGCGGTCCCTCCAGGAAGCCGTGTGTCCCTGCTGAGGTCCCTCAGACCCGGTGCCTTCCCCCGGCCCCAGCCGGACTCCTTGGGCTGCTATTGTCTGAGCCCCTCTCCTCTCTCCAGACTAGGGGCTCCTGGCTAAACACACCTAGCAAGTCGGGCAGATGCCACCTTCTCCCTTAGGGTGGACACACTGTCTGAACTACAGGCGTGACGTGAGGAGAGGAATTGGGACGCTGGGGTTGGGAGGATTCCTCTGGGGGCAGGTGGAGAAACTGGGACTGGGACATGGGTGGTGGCCAGGGAGGTAGGGTTCTCCAAATTAGAGAAATCCAGGTTTGAACCCTGACTGCCACTTCCTAGGGTTGCAAATGTGGGCCTCCATGAGCCTGTTCTGCCAAGTGGACGTAAGTGCCGTTGTACAGAGCTGGGTGAGGTCAGGGCTGCAGAGGCACACAGCCCAGGCTGACAGCAGAGAGCCTTACCGTATCCTGACCAAAGAGCCTCCAGGGTCTGCCCTGCACTCAGTGACAGGCAAGCAGGCCACGGGCCACTCGGCAGTGGCTGCCAGGGATCCTAAGGTTGCTCTGTCAATCAACTGGTGATTCTGAAGGGACAGAAATGGTCCTTATGCTGCCACATGGCCCTTCTCCATCCTGGACCAGGTTGGGTGGGTGGGCCAGGGTCTGCAGTGTGGAGGGTGCCACTTAACAGGATGCATTTCCCCAAGTCACCCCCTGGCTTAGGTGAGCAGCTACTCACCTCCCAGCATCCACGGTCAAGTCCGATGACAACCTTCTAACGGGAGGAGAGGCTGAAGGGCCGAAGGCAGGGATGGAGGAAACCGACTACAAGAAGCTTCCTAAGGAACTATTTTTAGGTGTGGTTGTTTTTAAAAGGTCTTCTTGGTTGGGTTTCATGTCTTTGTGACAAATGTGCCGTGGTTACAGAGGCGTTAACAACGGGGACAACTGGATGTGGGTGTAGGAACTATCTTTTCAGAATTTCTGAAAATCTACAAGTATTCTAAAATAGAGCATTTATTTTTTAAAAATGTACCGAGTAGACCAAATAAATGAAAATAAACAAGATTTCCCCTCCCCACCTAAAAAAAAGTCTTTTTAGATAAACAACCTAAATATTTCCAGATGAAACGGGGTACTGGTGGGGCTGCCTGAGGAGCCGGGAGGTGGCACTTCAGGGATTGGTGCCGGTTCTTCCCCTTTAGGCTGGGAATGTCTTCATAACAGAGTGCTAACAGCAATGTTTCTGGGTGGTTGGCCCGCTGTACCATTGACAATCTATGGGTGAGTGACTGTCCTCGTCTGAAACAGGAACACGGAGGGCAGCTCTGTGGTGGCTGGGAGGTGGCCCTGAAGAACACAGCTGTTCTGAGGTGAGGGGAACACCCAGGCCAGATCGGGCATCGCAGCTGCACATGGAGGCTGCCTCCTGGGTGCTCAGTGGCTGTGGAAGGTCTTCTCAGTGGCCCCTGGCTCCTAGATCTGATGGTGGGTGTGTCCTTCATGCCCACTTGGGGAGAGACTGACCCTCAGCCAGCACCAGGGGTGAGGTGGGTAGCATGTCCCTCAAATGGTCTCTTTTGGAACATGCACCACAAGGGTCCGGGTCCCACTGGTGTGGGCACTGAGGGAGGCCGCTGGAAAAGGGCCAGGAGTGTGGGCCCTGCAACAGCCGGCTATGTCCAAGGGCCCATCAACGCTCTGAACTTGGATTTCCTCAAAAGCTCGGTACCCCATGTCTGGGCCCCACGCTGTCCTCCCCCTCTTCCTACCCCCCCCCCCCCCTCCCCGGCAAGGCCTGCACTGCAGGGCTTGTCTAAGATGGGACTCGGGCTTCACTCTGCCCATGTGGACAGGGAGGTTGGTTGACACTTGCTGGGTTCCCTGGGCTCAAAGAGTCCCCCCAGCAGCCCCTCCTGCATGTCAGAATCCTGGGCCAGCCATCCCGTCCTCCCCTCAAGCCTCTGAGGC